AAACAGTATTCTTGTAAAATGAAAAAATGTTAGAGATCCAAGGGGGGACCTTGCCCCCTAGATCGAACAACTCCCTAATTCTAAACTCTCCTTAATTTGAATCTGGGTTCGCCTTGTCCTGAAACACTAAGAATCCTGAGATTCGAAGGAACCAAATTCACGTGGCCTAACAATGGCAGGTCTGTGAGGAATGTAACTTGTCTAACGCTTCATTACAAACACGCACAAACACATTAGAACGAATAAATGCGCTTAGATTAAGAAATTGAACTTTAGAATTATACATATGGCTGGTATGCTTCAATCTGCAGCTTTGGGTGTGGAAACGTTGGCTTAGGAGTTGGTATGGACTCCTGGGTGGCTCAGGAATACGAATATAGTATTCGTTTGGGCTAAAGGTGCCTGCAAAAAAGGTGATTCGATTGGGACACTTTTGGGATTTCTTTGACCAATGTGGCAACGTGATCTGTGTGATGCAGTATGCGTGCTTGTGAGTCCCCCTGGATTTGTGTTTGAAATCTTGTATTTATAGATGGTGGAGGAGACAAGGAATCATGGCATTAAAGACCAGCCATTGACAGGGATTTGAAAAGAGAATCAGACAAATTAAAATATTTGCATTTTGAGATATTTCATGCCATTCTGGGATTCTTAATGAACTTGGACATGTCAATTTGTGCCTTGTTCTAATTTGAAAATATTCAGAGTTTCCCTCTTCAGAGCCCCTTCGATCAGCCCTTGTTCTTGTGATGATTCTATGTCCTGATTTAAATTTCCCAGAACTTCCCTCATCAGAACATTTGTTTCCTTCGAAGGCTCTGAATTCTAATTCGAATTGCACCAACTTCGTTATCATGGCTCCTTCGATTAAGTCTCAAGCTTTTCTCTCTTCGATGGCTTTGAACTTGACCAATCGAAGCATTATCTTATTGACTGGTTGAAGTGCTATTTTTCTCTCTCCGATGGCTCTGTGTCGTGATTCGAATTTCTCATATTCTCAGCATTAGAGTTTCTTCTTTTAACCATGGTCTGCAGGAATTCGAAAGGCTCAGAGTTGTTCTTATCAAAGCTCCTTCAGTTTTGTCTCCAATCTGCATGAATTCGAATGGCCCATCATTAGAGATTCTAGAAACCTCTCAGTTCTTTCTCTTTTCGATTTCATTTTATCTAATTTGGACAATCATAATGTCACCCTGTTGATATGCCATCGAAGCATCACTTGGTTGACATGCGTGTCGAAAGACACTTTGTATTCCCTAATGAAAGACAACCTTACTTAAGATGTCCATCAAAGCTGGCTTGTTTAAGATTCCCATCGAAAGACCCTTTGGCATGCCAATAGAAAGACCTTTTGCATATGCCAATTGAAGGGCACTTTATAGATGCCAATCGAAGGACACTTAACCATCATTCAAAAATTTCCTTTTCTTTAAGAAAATGTTTGTAACCACCCATGCAAGAGAAAATCTTGGAAAAACATGAGAGGGCAAATTTTGGGGTACAACAGACAACTGTCAAAAGGTTTTGATCATGATAACTCTTCCAAAATTTCTTGATGATTGCATCTAAACAAGAAGAGATATCTCAAATCTCATCAAATGTATCAAATTTTAGTTGTAAGTGTTAGAGAAAGTCAAATCAAACAAAGGAAATTGAATTTGTGATATTGAATTTAAAGATATGAAAGCTTGAAGTTATGAATTTGTGATATTGAAGAGGTGAAAGTGTGAAGTCTCGCATGGTCCCGCATTTAGGGTTTTTACTAGTTCTAATAAGTTTAATTGTAAAAAGAACAAGAGTATGTCTTGAGGTACTAAGGAAATGCACACACACAAAAATGTTTTCACACCTTTTCTATTTTGATAAATCTTCTTAAAATCAATCTGGGAAAATGTTTAATTGTTTATAACCTTATGTAATCAATTAGGAAGAAAAATACTTAAATCAAAGTGTAGTGCATCCTAATTGATAAGAGATATACTAATAGATTAAGTGACATATAATTTCAAACTTTCTTAATTTAGATTTGTAAATCCATCAATACATAGGTTTAATCGGTTAACTCATTAAAATGACTCGTTGATTGTTTCCTTTTTTAGCCAATTTGTTTCCTATATAAAGAATACTTACCCCCATTTCAAAATACACTAGTTTTATGAATATAACCTTTACTATATCATTCTTTTTCTTATTCTGTTATAAATTTTCTTTCTCTTAGTGTCAAAAGAGTGAAAAGTTTCATCTGAGAGTTGATATACTCGTGTTATGCTGAAAGTATTTATTCAATAGGAAAGTTCTCTTGTAATATATTTGTAATAGATTTAAATGTTGCAAGTTAAACATGAAAAAAATCTTGGGTGAATGTTATTGAGCTAAGTTTATATAAAAGCTAAGTTTGTTGCTGAAAGGTTTTTTGGGTTGATCTTGGGCAAAGGTTTAAATTGTTGTGAAATTTTTTTGGGTTGATCTTGTCAAAAAACTCAAGTTTGTTTTAGTGAAAATCTCAAGGAGAAACTCTTTGAGAGTGGAGTAGGTCAAGTGGTTTAGGCAGAACCAAGATAATTGCCTGATGTGATCTTTCTATCCCTTATTTCTTTTATTTTTAGTTATTTATTTTATTCCGCTGCTCCTTTTTGCTTTCTTATTCTAGAATAGACATTTTTAAATAAAAAAAATTATAAACCCAGTTTTTAAAAAATATGAATATATTATAATTCACCCTCTTATGTTTGGAGTCACTTGTTCAACAAGTAACATCAGAGTCTAACCCCTGTTATAAGACAAATTGTTTCATGAAGAAGTGACTTCAAACAGTTCACTAAATAGACTTTTATTCTTTAATAGAGAAGGGAATACTTTGTGGAAAGAGAGGATACAAACCTTCATAGATGGGAGGGATTATGATATATGGACTTCTATTTTAAAAAGTAGTTTTTTTGTTCCCCAACATCTAGTTGATGGTGTTGTGGAAACAAGAAAGATAGAGAAATTTGGACCAAAGAAAATAAAGAAAAAATGCAATGTAATTTGACAGTAAAAACTTTTGACCTCTAGTTGATGGTGTTGTACCCCAATTTTTGACCTAAGATCCCATTTTTATTTTTGCATTTTAAAGATAAGTCAGGGTCACGAAATACAGTCGGTTTTAACCTCTCACCTTCGAGCTTTGACTATGCGAAGATTGTCGAGTGTTTTGAACATTTTTAGCCTATGTATCACTAATTTCTAATCGCATACAAAGGTGTATGTTCATGTTTCTTTGGTTTCATGAAAAAGATAGGTTTGAATCAAGAGCATTAGGTGTTGTGCCTCAGTTAGGTTTTTGGATCCATCAAGTGTTAAATATGGTGAATAACCGATTCTCAAAGGCTACTTCATATAAGCTTGGACTATAATATCAAAAGCACAATAAACATTTCATCATCACTGGTTCATGTGTGCATCAATATGTCTTGTAATTCAAGGAAGGATCAAGTTTGCAAGTTGATTCAAAGAACTTTAACCAAAAGTAAACTTTTCCAAGATCAAGTTCAGAAGGTTGTAACTTCCTCAATTTTCTACATTTTGAGACGATTATTTTTGCACACTGTCACAAATGATGTCATCTACAAGTTTTCTTCAAGGATTGAGGGAAAATTATGCTTAGAAGACCTTGAAATTTATTGAATCGTTATAGGTCATTTCTTCACTTAGAATCGTTCTTAACCTTTAGTTTCAATTCATGCCATAGTCATTTCCTCAAGACATTGATTCTTATGTTGAGATCACTCATGGATCAAGAGGTTGAGATGCAAAATTCATTGATTGAACTTTGCTTATAATTCAAGTCACTTGTGTTCGAGCATTATTGATTATTGGATTAAAGTTGGATTTTTGACCAAAGTTCTCAAGGCATTATTGTTCTCTCAAGTACTATGGGCTTGTATTGCGAGTTACCATGAATTGAAGATTTGCCCATGAAATGTCATTAAATTCAAGTTAATTCAAGTTTTCAAAGACATTAATCGTTATTCTAGCTTCAAGATACAAGTATCAGAATTCATTGTTCATTATAAAATCAAAGAGAATGCTTGGAATTTCAAAGTGAAAATTAGAAAAAAAGCCTTGTTTCTTCAATATTTTCAAGCTCATTACAAGATTCAAATACAAAGTGTTACATGAAATTCCTAAGTTTCTAAAGTCAAAGAAAAATCCAACTTCTTGTTATCTTCATGATACAATTATTTTTCACGCCCTTATGTCTTGGAATCTCACTCCGTACTCAATTTGCTTCCAACCTTTGCCTTGTACCAAAGCTGCCCAATTTCTAGTCCCCTGCATAAGTGCCAAAAAAACAGTCAAATTATGACCTTTCCTTGTCCACAATCCTTGCAGCCATAAAACAAACACAACACTCCAAAAAACTGCACTATTGCCCTGCAAAATCAGATCCCAACCTACTCCAAAACCTTACTGTCAAACTATCCAAATATGCACCACATCAGTCCAACAATTGCATAAAGATGGTTAAATCAAAATTGCATAAAAAAAGGTTTATGTCTAGACACTAAATCTGTTCGAATTTCACCAACCTTTCTCCCAAATTTCATCATTCTTCTTCTATAAATCAAGAATTCACTTCAGTAGAAAAGAAAGTAGGCATCACACACAAGAATAATGAGAAACAAATTCATTATTAAAAAAATTATTTCAAATTCTTTCAACTCACCTTTGAAAAAATGTTTCAGTGACATCCTATAAACTTTATGCTTCACTCACCGAACACCATCAACAACTCACCGATTTCCATCACAACAACAGTTCCAAATGCAAATGCACAACAACAGTTCCAACCACCGAAACCCACTTCCGGTCACGGAACTTCACTCTCTGTCAAAAGAACGCTTTCAACCTCTTACCGCCATTACCGTTCCTCTCCATCATCACAAAACGCCTAGCCCAACAACTTGCTAACCATCAATCTTCGCCAACCACCACCTTCCGTTCTCGCGAGTCCACCTCTAATCAATGACACAACTTCTCCGCACGCAGCAACACATCAATCGCAACTTGCCGCTACTCTCCGGGCAACCTCCATGCAACCCACGCCGACCGATCCCTTCAACTGCAGTCAGCAACACCTTCATCACCTCAGTCCTTACCCATCCGCGCCGCCACCTTCGACCGACTCCTCCAACTCCCGCCGCAAATAGATCTGCACCGGACAACCCTCCGCCACCCGCAACCGTCTCCGCGTCGAAACTTAGGTCGGTACCGTCCTTCATGTTTGGTTCTTGAAATATTGGGTTTTGGTGTTGTATTGCGAAGAGAAGAAGAGTAGGTAGTGAGATAAACTTTTTTTCCTGACTTTGTTTCAACTATATTTGTGTTACATTTTGTTTGATTTTTATTTTTTGTTATAATGTTTCACCACGTGTCAGCACCCCATTGGTTATTGTCCATATGATTAAAAAACAACAAAAAACTTTATTTTGCTTACAGCAGGTGGAGGTGCCTGTATGCCCTGTTGTTACAGGTTATGGTTATTATTTTGTTTTTTTTAATTAGGGATGTAATTGGAGTAGGTTTGGGTTTTGGGCTTTCAAAAAAATTATTAATATAAAAATATTAGTAAATCCTATTTAGATTTAGTTTAGTATTAATTTTTTTAATTAGTTTAGATGTATTTTATAGCTTTAAAATATTTAGAATTATGATTAATAATTTTAGAATCTTAATTTAATTAGATATAAATTAGTAATGTTAGAACCTTTAATTAATTTAGGTATATTTTGATAACTTAAAAATTTCAATTTGTTTAGATCTATTTTATAACTTTAGAACTTCTAATTAGTGTAGATACATTTTGATAACTTTAGAATTTTAATTTAGTCCTAGAATTTTAATCTTTAGTTTAGAATTAATTTAGTTTAGTATTAATTTAGATTTATTTTATAACTTTTTGTTTTAGCTTTAATTTAGTAAACTTTAGAATTTTATGTGTTGTAGTATTATTTTAGTAATTTTAGGATTTTATTTCATTTAGATTTGACTTAGTAAATTTTAGAGTTTTATTTGTTTTAGTTTTGACTTAGTAAACTTTAGAATTTTATTTTGTTTTAGTAACTTTAGGATTTTATTTCATTTAGATTTGACTTAGTAAATTTTAGAGTTTTATTTGTTTTAGTTTTTGACTTAGTAAACTTTAGAATTTTATTTTGTTTTAGTTTTATTGTAGTAACTTTAGGATTTTATTCCATTTAGATTTGACTTAATAAATTTTAGAATTTTATTTGTTTTAGTTTTAATTTAGTAAACTTTAGAATTTTATTTGATTTTATTTAAGTTAACTTTAGAATTTTATTTGTTTGGTTTTAGTTTAGTGACTTTAGGATTTTTATTTGATTTAGAATTAGTTTAATAAATTTATAATTTTTATTTGATTTAGAATTAGTTTAATAAGTGTATAATTTTTATTTAGTTTAATAACTTTAGAGTTTTTATTTGATTTAAATTTAGTTTAGTAGTTTTAGAATTTTCATTTGTTTTAGATTTAATTTAGTAACCTTAGGATTTTAATTTAATCTAGATTTAACTTACTAAATTTTAAAGCTTTAGTTTAGTTTTAGATCAAATTCAATAATACTAGATTTTTTTTATAACCTTAGAATTTGTAATTAGTTTAGAATTATTTTAGTAAGTAATTTTTAATTTAGTTCGAATAACTTCTTTAGATAATTAGTTACATTCTCTTTTATTCTATTTAAATATCTTTGTCATTTTAATTTCTCGATGCTTTTGGTCATTAATCTGTTTTATTAGATTTGTTTTTCTTGTGAATTTTTGAATGTTTATACTTTGTGGATTCATCTTATTTTACTTGCTCGATTTATTCCAAGGGAAATCTTTCAACTCAGCTGACTTCATGTCATCAAATACATCTTCTACAATCATGCAAATACCCTCATTCATTTTTTGCTTGCTTACTATTTTTCCAAACTTAAGACAATTTTCCCAAAAAACTCCATTTTCAAACTCACACCTTTTAAGTCAAAACTTCGACACTAGGTCGTCGTATCTTCAAAAATCTCGTCCATACCCATCTTTTAGCCAAACGAATCATTTTAATCAAACAAACAATTTTAACCAAAAAATAGATATTTCAAAAGGTTCCTGCGGAGTACCGCAGATGCATTGGGTGCTAATACCTTCCCATTGTATAACCAACCCCCGAACTCTCGATCTCTTTCAAAAACGCATTGTATTTTTTTACTTTTAAGTATTATTTTACATTGCATATTTTAGGGTTTTATTTCACTCTTTTCCCTTTTCCCTTGGAAATAATAAAGCGCGGTGGCGACTCTTGCTTTTTGTGAGTCAAGTTAATTAATAGCTTGATCTCCGATTTTCACCGCTACAGAATTGGCGACTCTGCTGGGGAAAGATTGACCTCTTGCTGGTCCATCCCTAAGTGGGTTAAGCCTAATTTGTTTTATCTGTTTTATCATTATTTGATTGTTTGATTATATGTATATATTATAATTATTTGGGTGTTGATAATATTTACCAAGGACAAGTCCTATACCCGGACTAAGTTACACTTAGGAATAGGACGGGCGGTATAGTCATGTTAACTTTGAGGGAGTAATCCCGAAGAAGGAGGCATGAGATCCCCCACTCAGCGGAAGGCCCTTTTGAACGTAATATTTGTTTACCGAATAATCGGGAAGACATTATTATTTTCGACCTGGGAGCCAGAGAAGCTGGGAACCGTAAAACCATAACCCATCTTGGCCTTTTAGGTGTAGCGCGGAGATTATAACGGAGTAATCCGGAAATAATTGTTACGCGATGCTACGCTCGGATGAGTTTCTCTTGAGAATATTGCTGATTATTGAGTAATCAAGACGTTGGTAATATCCGAGGGAGGAATGTAGACTCCGGAAACTCTTAGAACCTTGTCTTTCAGGTGTGATTAAACCGTTAGTAGATACCTTGGGGATGTTCTTTACCCTTGACTTCATGCTCGTGACGTTGAACCTTTCGACTTTATTTGTGACCTTGCTTGTGGTTGTTGCATAGCCATGCATTCATACATCAATAAAACCCTTTTCACTTGACTTTGAAGGAATTTGGAGGTCTTTCTTTGTAAACATCACAAGTTTCGTCAAGCTCAATGGATCTTGGGTGTTGATAAGGCGAAAACCCTAATCCACCAAAATGGATGATTGATCTTGATGATAACTTGATCAATGTTTGGAGCCAATTTAAAATTCATCTTCTATCTTCATACTTTGATGTTTACAACTTAATATCTTGAGTTCCTTAAAAATCAAATAAAAACTCTCTTTTGCATATCATGCATCATTCTACATTTTTTGTTTCACTTTCAAAGGTCTTTTTCCGAGTCTTATTTTTCCTTTGGTCTCACCAGTACAACACTGACGCTAGGAGAACAATGGAGAATATCAAGCAAGAGATTTCTGAACTCCGCAGAGAGGTGACTAATTTGAAAGCTAGTGTGGAGCACTTAACTGGTTTGGTTGAAATTTTGGTTGCCGCCCAAGTCAATCCTTCTAGGAGGGAGGAAGCGATGATAAAAGTCTTCACTGATCATTCTCTCATGAGAAGGTGATGATTAATGCGCCTAGTGATTTTCCCGACAAGGTGAATGTGGGAGTGCGTCTACAAGAAGATGTTGGGAAGGGATGTTCATATGAAGATGGTAGCTCAGCTAGTGGTGTGAAGAAGTTTGATAATAACTTTTCCAAGAAGAGAACCATAGGAAGGAATATTCATCGTCAAAATCATCATGTTCCTCCTATTCATCAACAGAATCAGCAAGTTCCTAATCAGAGGAAAACCCAGTTTGATCCAATTCCAATTACCTATACAGAGTTGTTCCCTATCCTGATGCAGAGAAATTTGGTTCAGACCCGACCTCCACCGAAGGTTCCTGAGAAGATACATTGGTACTACAAAGCTGATTTGGCTTGTACCTTTCATCAAGGCGCTCCTGGGCATGACTTGGAGGGTTGCTTTGCTTTGAAGATTGAAGTTCAGAAGTTGGTCAGAAGTGGTATCTTGTCGTTCAAGAACGTTGGTTTTGAAGTTCAAATCAAGCATGTGCCGAAGGGTAAACATGATTGATGGTCACTTTGAGTTTTGAATGATGTTTTCGGTAATTCAGGTCCAGATGGAAAGCCTTCCTAGATCATTAACTTATTTCTGCTTTTTGTAATTTTTCTTGTTTATCAAAACATTGTTTGCATGTAAGAACTTGTTTGCATCTGTATGATTATCTTAATACAATGAGTATGTTTGTCTTGAAGAAATTCATTCGTTTCACTCATATTTGTTTTCAAATTTTAAATTTCTTTTGGCATTATGATACCAACTTGTTGCCCATTCTCTTGCCTAGGCAGAGATTGTAGGGAGGAGGATGATCTAAAGAACACAAAATCTCTGGTTGCATGCTTTTGGATAAAAATCTTGTTGATGATGTACAGGCATTGTTTCAAATCCCTAAACACTGGAGATATAAGGAAGATAATCCCTTGCTAACCCCTTTTGAGCCTTTGAAGCAGAAGTTTCTTTTCTATACGAAAAACCCTCAACTTTTAACTTGGGGCAGGGTAGTTTTCAGTTAATCTGATTGAGTGTTCAAAATTCATAAGGAAGATGTTTTTTGAAGAGAAACTACGAGGGATATCCTTCATGTATAATGAATCTAGAGGATGTGGAACCATAATGTTAACCCTCATTCATCAAGAAACGAGGCAATCACAATCCTCTCAACAAACAAAGACAAGCTAATGTCACACATTTTGTTCAAAAAGTCAAAAATCGAGAAAAAGAAAAAGCCTGCTAAGTCAAAAAACATGAAAACGTGTGACTTAGGCAAAATTAAGGCATCCCGCTGGACTATCAATTCAAAAGAATTAGTTCAGGAAAAAGTTAGGGAAAATAAAAATTGCAAAGAAAAGGACTGCAAAGAAAAGTCCTCAGCAAAGAACAAATTGGTGACTACAAACACGAAGACATGAGGGTGGTTTCTATTTCGAAAGCCTCGTCGTTTCCTTGACCGTCACAAAATCCTTTTGAGAGATGAACACTCATGTTGAATTAACTGAACATAGGGTTGGAGAACATCATGAAGGGGGTGGGCACCAAATATTTTGAGCCTTAAAATCTTTTTTTTCTAAAAACCATGAACCAGACCACGTTACAACCTTCAAAAGTCCTAATTGAAGCAAGGTTATTTTGAAAGCATACTTCAATGAGATAGTGTTCCTGACTCCCATGAATGTTCTAAATAGTTATGTTGGTATCATATGTTCTTCCTATACAAAAATAAATGGTGCTTTAACTCACAAAATTTGTGCGATATCTTTCAAAATCTTCAAGACTTACATAACTGTTGCATTAGAATTTTCATTCTCATTGTAAACTTTTTCTAACTGCAAAACATTTGTTTGATATCAAGGAAGCTCACATAAGCACCAGTGATGAGTTCATTCTTTTAAGGCCTGAAACTATGTTGAGTAATTGGCGAATCATTTCAAAAAATCATATCCATGGGCATGTCACCTGAAGACCGTAAGCACGAACATGTTGCTTCTCCCAGTTAATGCTTTTCCTAACTTGTTTGCTCATTTGGGGGAAAATTTCGAAGACTTTGTTGTGCCGACTACATTTAATCCGGGGCAACCACGTCGAGATTTGATGAATCTCTCTAAGAGTTTGAAGACACCGGAGCATGGTGAATGCTAGGTCTTTTGTAAAATCCTCTTGAGACGATTTCTCCTCATCAACCCTATAGCTTGGGGCATTTTAGAAGTGAAGTTATTCGTAAGAATTGTCGTGCAGCATGCAGCTTATCAGCAGTAAACTTGGGGCATCCAAAATTTATCCCAGGGGCAATCCAGATTTGTCAAGATATGTTTTTCATACATTATCAGAGGGTGGTGTTACCAGTATCTCCAGCTAAGCAAGACTTCTTTCCAGCTGAAACTTTGTTTGTGTTGTTATCCTTTCAATGGATTGTTTGCGATAGAAGACTAGACTTTGGGTTTTCTACCTGAAAATATCTTCCTCTCCAGAGATATTTAGGCCTTGTAAAAGGACCTTGCTCCAATGATGGCCTGTGTTTTATCTCCAGTAATGTTCCCATCCTGTTGAGATTAGCCGAGTGTTGGGTTGCGCTATGATGTCTTATCATCTCCAGTTTATCTTGTCTATTTGTTTTGTCAGTACATACATGAGATTCATGTATTCATTCACACTTGCATCATGCATGCACAGTTGTATTTGTTGATGTCTTTGAGTACGTATACCTTGGTTATGTCTATTCAAATAGCGTATTTGATCTTTCCAAATAGAGTGTCAACTTAAGCATAAAGTGTGCCTTCTTTCTAATTCCCCACTGAGTTAACTCTCGTGGAAGAATCTTGCTTTAACTTTCCTTTTCCATCTCTGGATAGGATAAATCCCCATTTGAGTTATTTCCTCATTGGGTGGAGTCTTGTTTGACTGTTTTCTCTCCAGTTTATTCCTGGATTGAGCTTTGTCTCTTGTGAACGATACCCTGTGGATCTCTCTAGGTTGTGAAACCTAGATGGAGGGTGCATACCTGGTCTCCTCAAGAAGGATTTATTCATGGTTCCCCATTGAAGATGAACTTTATTCCCCAGCAGTGTTATCACAACCTTCTTCTGGAATATCGACATGACAACAAGCGACTGACTCTTTATTTGAGCAGTTTGATTATTTCTGATTTCTCTACGATAAATGGCGGTCTCTGCATGAGCAGTTTGTCCATCCTCGATGAAATTATTGATTCTCACCTCCAGCAATATCTTCACGATATTTTATGGGTATCTTTTTGGGAAACAGCAAGCGGCGGTCTCTTCATGAGCAACTTGTGTGTTATGGATACTCTTGACAAACAGCAAGCGGCGGTCTCTTCATGAGCAACTTGTATGTTATTGATACCTTGAAAGAAACAGCAAGCGACAGTCTCTTCATGAGCAACTTGTTTGTTATTGTCACCTTTGAAAACAACAAGCGGCGGTCTCTTCATGAGCAACTTGTGTGTTATTGGTAATTTTGAAAAGAAAACAACAAGCGGCGGTCTCTTCATGAGCAACTTGTGTGTTATTGGTAATTTTGAAAAGAAACAGCAAGCGGCAGTCTCTTCATGGACAACTTGTATGTTATCAACACCTTTAAAAACAGCAAGCGACAGTCTCTTCATGGACAACTTGTATGTTATCAACACCTTTAAAAACAGCAAGCGGCAGTCTCTTCATGGACAACTTGTATGTTATCAACACTTTTTGAAAACGGCAAGTGGCAGCTTCTTCATGAGCAGCTTGTACGTTAGTATTTTTGGAAGACAGCAAGTGACAGCTTATCTATTTGAGCAACTTGTGTGTTATTGTTCCCTTGAAGACAGCAAGTGGCAGCTTCTTTATGAGCAGCTTGTGGGTTATTGGCAACAAGTGGCAGACTCTTCATGAGTAGCTTGTGTGCTTTGATATTCTTTGAAGACAGCAAGTGGCGGTCTCTTCATGAGCAGCTTGTGTGCTTTAATATTCTTTGAAGACAACAAGTGGCGGTCTCTTCATGAGCAGCTTGTATGTTATTGACACCTTTGAAAGGAAGCAAGTGGTGGCCTCTTTATTTGAGCAGCTTGTGTATCCCCAACAATAATGTCTACTCAGCAAATGGCATCCCTTCGGGAAAGTCCCGTGGGGAAGTTTGTTATTTTATCCTTTTCAAGCGATATCTTGGTTAAAGAAGAAATGTGTTACCGTTCTTGGCAAAATTCAGAAATCAGAGATGTTTATCTCCAGCCACAGTGCTGATGTCAATCATTTTCCAGTCTCAGTACTGATGTCCACCATTTCCTTTTCCAGTCACAGTGCTGATGTAAATCATTTCTTTTTCCAGTCTTCGTACTGATGTAAATCATCTCTTTTCCAGTCTCAGTACTGATGTCCATCATTTCCTTTTCCAGTCACAGTGCTGATGTCCATCATTTCCTTTTCCAGTCACAGTGTTGATGTAAATCATTTATGTTTCCAGTCTTCGTACTGATGTAAATCATCTCTTTTCCAGTCTCAACACTGATGTAAATCATTCAAGAGTCTCTCATTTGAAGTCTATGACTTTGTTTCCCCAGTGGAGTTACAACCTCTTCCTCTGTAGGATTACTGTATAATGGGCTTGGTTTCTCCAGCATAGTCTGTCTCATATGGCGTCATTCCCCATAAAATTCAGAGCATTACATTCATATCATATCGTAAACATAATCACGGTATCTTAAGGCCAAAAATTGTGTATTCTGTATTTAAGTCCCTTCAATCTCGTCGAAATGAAGATCCCAATCTTCATATCTCCAGATAGAAGAAACTTAAATAGGGGCAGCTGTTGTACCCCAATTTTTGACCTAAGATCCCATTTTTATTTTTGCATTTTAAAGATAAGTCAAGGTCACGAAATACAGTCGGTTTTAACCTCTCACCTTCGAGCTTTGACTATGCGAAGATTGTCGAGTGTTTTGAACATTTTTAGCCTATGTATCACTAATTTCTAATCGCATACAAAGGTGTATGTTCATGTTTCTTTGGTTTCATGAAAAAGATAGGTTTGAATCAAGAGCATTAGGTGTTGTGCCTCAGTTAGGTTTTTGGATCCATCAAGTGTTAAATATGGTGAATAACCGATTCTCAAAGGCTACTTCATATAAGCTTGGACTATAATATCAAAAGCACAATAAACATTTCATCATCACTGGTTCATGTGTGCATCAATATGTCTTGTAATTCAAGGAAGGATCAAGTTTGCAAGTTAATTCAAAGAACTTTAACCAAAAGTAAACTTTTCCAAGATCAAGTTCAGAAGGTTGTAACTTCCTCAATTTTCTACATTTTGAGACGATTATTTTTGCACACTGTCACAAATGATGTCATCTACAAGTTTTCTTCAAGGATTGAGGGAAAATTGTGCTTAGAAGACCTTGAAAGTTATTGAATCGTTATAGGTCATTTCTTGACTTAGAATCGTTCTTAACCTTTAGTTTCAATTCATGCCATAGTCATTTCCTCAAGACATTGATTCTTATGTTGAGATCACTCATGGATCAAGAGGTTGAGATGCAAAATTCATTGATTGACCTTTGCTTATAATTCAAGTCACTTGTGTTCGAGCATTATTGATTATTGGATTAAAGTTGGATTTTTGACCAAAGTTCTCAAGGCATTATTGTTCTCTCAAGTACTATGGGCTTGTATTGCGAGTTACCATGAATTGAAGATTTGCCCATGAAATGTCATTAAATTCAAGTTAATTCAAGTTTTCAAAGACATTAATCGTTATTCTAGCTTCAAGATACAAGTATCAGAATTCATTGTTCATTATAAAATCAAAGAGAATGCTTGGAATTTCAAAGTGAAAATTAGAAAAAAAAGCCTTGTTTCTTCAATATTTTCAAGCTCATTACAAGATTCAAATACAAAGTGTTACATGAAATTCCTAAGTTTCTAAAGTCAAAGAAAAATCCAACTTCTTGTTATCTTCATGATACAATTATTTTTCACGCCCTTATGTCTTGGAATCTCACTCCGTACTCAATTTGCTTCCAACCTTTGCCTTGTACCAAAGCTGCCCAATTTCTAGTCCCCTGCATAAGTGCCAAAAAAACAGTCAAATTATGACCTTTCCTTGTCCACAATCCTTGCAGCCATAAAACAAACACAACACTCCAAAAAACGGCACTATTGCCCTGCAAAATCATATCCCAACCTGCTCCAAAACCTTACTGTCAAACTATCCAAATATGCACCACATCAGTCCAACAATTGCATAAAGATGGTTAAATCAAAATTGCATAAAAAAAGGTTTATGTCTAGACACTAAATCTGTTCGAATTTCACCAACCTTTCTCCCAAATTTCGTCATTCTTCTTCTATAAATCAAGAATTCACTTCAGTAGAAAAGAAAGTAGGTATCACACACAAGAATACAGAGAAACAAATTCATTATCAAAAAAATTATTTCAAATTCTTTCAACTCACCTTTGAAAAAATGTTTCAGTGACATCCTATAAACTTTATGCTTCACTCACCGAACACCATCAACAACTCACCAATTTCCATCACAACAACAGTTCCAAATGCAAATGCACAACAACAGTTCCAACCACCGAAACCCACTTCCGGTCACGGAACTTCACTCTCTGTCAAAAGAACGCTTTCAACCTCTTACCGCCATTACCGTTCCTCTTCATCATCACAAAACGCCTAGCCCAACAACTTGATAACCATCAATCTTCGCCAACCACCACCTTCCGTTCTCGCGAGTCCACCTCTAATCAATGACACAACTTCTCCGCACGCAGCAACACATCAATCGCAACTTGCCGCTACTCTCCGGGCAACCTCCACGCAACCCACGCCGACCGATCCCTTCAACTGCAGTCAGCAACACCTTCATCACCTCAGTCCTTACCCATCCGCGCCGCCACCTTCGACCGACTCCTCCAACTCCCGCTGCAAATAGATCTGCACCGGACAACCCTCCGCCACCCGCAACCGTCTCCGCGTCGAAACTTAGGTCGGTACCGTCCTTCATGTTTGGTTCTTGAAATATTGGGTTTTGGTGTTGTATTGCGAAGAGAAGAAGAGTAGGTAGTGAGATAAACTTTTTTTCCTGACTTTGTTTCAACTATATTTGTGTTACATTTTGTTTGATTTTTATTTTTTGTTATAATGTTTCGCCACGTGTCAGCACCCCATTGGTTATTGTCCATATGATTAAAAAACAACAAAAAACTTTGTTTTGTTTACAGCAGGTGGAGGTGCCTGTATGCCCTGTTGTTACAGGTTATGGTTATTATTTTGTTTTTTTTAATTAGGGATGTAATTGGAGTAGGTTTGGGTTTTGGGCTTTCAAAAAAATTATTAATATAAAAATATTAGTAAATCCTATTTAGATTTAGTTTAGTATTAATTTTTTTAATTAGTTTAGATGTATTTTATAGCTTTAAAATATTTAGAATTATGATTAATAATTTTAGAATCTTAATTTAATTAGATATAAATTAGTAATGTTAGAACCTTTAATTAATTTAGGTATATTTTGATAACTTAAAAATTTCAATTTGTTTAGATCTATTTTATAACTTTAGAACTTCTAATTAGTGTAGATACATTTTGATAACTTTAGAATTTTAATTTAGTCCTAGAATTTTAATCTTTAGTTTAGAATTAATTTAGTTTAGTATTAATTTAGATTTATTTTATAACTTTTTGTTTTAGCTTTAATTTAGTAAACTTTAGAATTTTATGTGTTGTAGTATTATTTTAGTAATTTTAGGATTTTATTTCATTTAGATTTGACTTAGTAAATTTTAGAGTTTTATTTGTTTTAGTTTTGACTTAGTAAACTTTAGAATTTTATTTTGTTTTAGTAACTTTAGGATTTTATTTCATTTAGATTTGACTTAGTAAATTTTAGAGTTTTATTTGTTTTAGTTTTTGACTTAGTAAACTTTAGAATTTTATTTTGTTTTAGTTTTATTTTAGTAACTTTAGGATTTTATTCCATTTAGATTTGACTTAGTAAATTTTAGAATTTTATTTGTTTTAGTTTTAATTTAGTAAACTTTAGAATTTTATTTGATTTTATTTAAGTTAACTTTAGAATTTTATTTGTTTGGTTTTAGTTTAGTGACTTTAGGATTTTTATTTGATTTAGAATTAGTTTAATAAATTTATAATTTTTATTTGATTTAGAATTAGTTTAATAAGTTTATAATTTTTATTTAGTTTAATAACTTTAGATTTTTTATTTGATTTAAATTTAGTTTAGTAGTTTTAGAATTTTCATTTGTTTTAGATTTAATTTAGTAACCTTAGGATTTTAATTTAATCTAGATTTAACTTACTAAATTTTAAAGCTTTAGTTTAGTTTTAGATCAAATTCAATAATACTAGATTTTTTTTATAACCTTAGAATTTGTAATTAGTTTAGAATTATTTTAGTAAGTAATTTTTAATTTAGTTCGAATAACTTCTTTAGATAATTAGTTACATTCTCTTTTATTCTATTTAAATATCTTTGTCATTTTAATTTCTCGATGCTTTTGGTCATTAATCTATTTTATTAGATTTGTTTTTCTTGTGAATTTTTGAATGTTTATACTTTGTGGATTCATCTTATTTTACTTGCTCGATTTATTCCAAGGGAAATCTTTCAACTCAGCTGACTTCATGTCATCAAATACATCTTCTACAATCATGCAAATACTCTCATTCATTTTTTGCTTGCTTACTATTTTTCCAAACTTAAGACAATTTTCCCAAAAAACTCCATTTTCAAACTCACACCTTTTAAGTCAAAACTTCGACACTAGGTCGTCATATCTTCAAAAATCTCGTCCATACCCATCTTTTAGCCAAACGAATCATTTTAATCAAACAAACAATTTTAACCAAAAAACAGATATTTCAAAAGGTTCCTGCGGAGTACCGCAGATGCATTGGGTGCTAATACCTTCCCATTGTATAACCAACCCCCGAACTCTCGATCTCTTTCAAAAACGCATTGTATTTTTTTACTTTTAAGTATTATTTTACATTGCATATTTTAGGGTTTTATTTCACTCTTTTCCCTTTTCCCTTGGAAATAATAAAGCGCGGTGGCGACTCTTGCTTTTTGTGAGTCAAGTTAATTAATAGCTTGATCTCCGATTTTCACCGCTACACAGTGATGTTGTTAGGACTTCGGTCCATTAAAGTTTATAGGACAAATAGTACAGTGATGGCCTCAATCCCATAGTGTTAATTTAAGTGAAATTTTATTATGTGCTCTAGTTCCAAACGGGAATGGATCCTATTGGTGGGGATCTTTGGAGATATGACAAATGTGTCATCAGTGAAGTTTTGGTACCACACGCATGAGTCTAATGAAGTTGCATTACATTCTTTGTGACCTTGCATAATGATTGATTAAGTGATGCTTTGTGAATATGTGAACTAATGATATCATGATGATGATTGTTGACTGATGATATATGATACTATGAATAAATAATGAACTAAAGGTGTGGGTATAACATGAAGTTTTGATGGTGTGTGGTGTCTTGCTATTATAATATAACTACTATATTGATTCCTTATGTATTTTGTAATGATTATGATTACCCACCCTTTCTGCTTGGAAATGTTGCCTCTATACGTGGGTAACTTGCAGGTGATCAGGATTAGTGCATTAAATCTTATAGGATTATCTTTAAAATGCATCATTTATTTTGTTTGAATAAGTGGGTATTTCTATGATATGTAACAACAGGGTTGGTGTGTAGAAATCTTGAGACTAAGCCATTGGATTGACTTAAATCGCACAAATCAAATAAAAATTGCTACCGCGCTTTATTGTTTCCAATGGAAATTAGAATAGAGCGATAAACCCAAAAGAGAGGGGAGAGAATCTAGGTAACGGGATTGGTTATGAAAAGGGAAAGTATTAGCACCCTAAACATCTACGGTACTCCGCAAGAACCTCTTTGAAAATCTATATATTTTGACTATGTAAAAAGTGCATACAAAAATAGATGGTGGAGACGATAATAGAAGTGGTTTTTTACAATTTTGCACCCCCCGCGATTGCGAACCTTTAGTGACTATGTACCACCTTCCATGCAATAGGGGATCAGGGTACTCGTAGTTCACCTTAAAATTTTTAAAACTTATGTGTGTTGGTTAATTTTAAGAGATGAGACATCATCGTCATATTCGAGTGGAAAACATAGTTACTACCCACGATTATGAGAAAGGGGAATTTGCATCATATCAAAATGGAGGATATAGCTTAGATTTTAAAATCAACAAAGCCTGACTCGAAACTCAAGTGGAAAATATATCACTTCACTTCATATCATAGAAGTATAGTAGCTCGCATCATTACAAGAATCCACAAGAGTCTAATCTTTTGAGAAAAGTTTTTAAAGTAAAAAGCCAAGTGGAAAAGGATTTGAATGAAGTTAATGACTTCTAGTCTTGAGAAAGATGTCAAAGTATTATTAAATTGATTAACATTTGATTAAGAAAATATTTTTGAAAATGCATGGACCTAAGTCCATGTTTTGTTGTGAAAGTGGTTCATGTTAGAAAAACAAGAAGAGTTTTGAAAAGGAGAGAGAGGACTTTTGAAATTAAAGAAGATAGGAGGAGATGAAGGGACTATCCTAAAGCATAAGGTAAAAGCCAAAGAAAAGAACGATATAACCAACAAGAAGCCAACACTTGACATATGAAGTCAATATAGAATTCACATCCTTTGGATTGAAACCAAGAAATTAAAAATACTAAACCTCTGAGAAATACCAAACTTCAGATGAATTAAGTCTTCACAAAAATTGAGCAGAGTAACGGCTGTATACATAGGAATTCTCAATCACAGACAAAGCATATAATCATAATAACTTGCACACAAAGAAAAAATAACCCAATGACTTGGAGTAAACCCCAAGGATTTCATACAAAATAACAACATAGCCATAAGGTCCCAAAGTATCAAGGATTCTAATCCTAAGTCCGAGAGATCCACAACTCCACAATACTAAGGATAGTAACCAAGTAATCCAAGTAACCTTAAGGTTTTTTATTGTTCAAGTTGATTATTAAGTGTCTTTAAAAGAAAATAAAAGCTCAAATGAGAAAAGATAAATGTTATAAAGATAAATGCTCAAATGAGCAAAGATAAAATGGCATAAAGATGAATTCTCAAATGAGCAAAGATAAAATGGCATGAAATGTAAATGCTAAAATAAACGGTACATAAAAATAAAGGCATAAAATAAAGACATAAAGTAAAGGCATAAAGTAAAGTTAATTGTTAGTGAATTAGAAGTTAGAGGTTAGTTGAATAACCATCTTAAAGCTTACATTTGAGAACTCATTAGAATATTGATAAAATAAAAGCTTCTCAATAACAAGTCTCATTCGCTTTTTGTCAAGTATATCATTCATTTTAAGTACTCAAAGTAACCACATATGATCAATGATGTTCAAATGATTCACTTAGACCAAAGTTCATGAAGTTCGTTAGAAATTTGATAAGATCAAAGCCTCCTAACAATGAACTTCAAAGTTATTGGATTAAAGGTTTCAATTTAAACATATTTGGGCTTGCAAACATATGTTTGGGCCACAAATGATCATTTCTCGAATCGGGACAAATTTAGCGATATGTTAAGAAATCGTAAGTGGACTTATGTAGAAGTCACACCTATTTTGAGGTCGGTCAATAACAATCTATGTACCAACATGTTAGAGAAATGATATGTAGATTATTCTCCAAAAACATGTAGCACAAGTAAAAACAAGAAAGGGATAAGATGAAGAGGGAGGGGAATGATAGTATAACCAATGTATCAGATGAAATTAGGGTTTCAAATATCATCAACATCATTCATCCATTTTGGTGGATTTGATTTTTCGACCTATCAACACATAAGGTCCAATGAGGTTGAGGAACTTGTCCAAAATTAACACCCAAATCAGGACCAAACAAAAATAATAAAAATATATTTAATAAAACAATATTTAAATGATTAATAAAAGAAAAAT